AGAATGAATCACTAATGGAAGTCCTGCGAGGAAAGGTACTGTTACCAAATACAGACACCTATAACTCTCTAAAAACTACTGCTGGTCTAGAGACACTTCCTGTGGCACTTCTGTTGAATATTCAGTATATTTAGGATTAGAATGCAAAACAGCAAATGTTGGTTATTAAAGGTTATAAAACGGACAAGTCAAATCAAGCAATCTGATTGGTTCTTAGCCGTGATATACTGAGCGTATACCACGGGTAGAATTGTAAGTTACTTTTCACAACAAGTCAGTATCCCTCCGCGTCTGAGAAAAACAGTATACCGTTGGGCTTTTCATACTGGAACTGGAACAAGAAAGCAGCGGAGAAGTAACGGGGCAGAAGCCCTCCTTTTTGACGCAGCGGTCCAGACATAGACATCAAACGGCAAAACATATTCCGTGTGCAGTTCCTTTGGCATTAGGGCAGGGATATCTAGATACTTTTGAAGGTTTAACATAATGAATTGTGCTACTTTTAAAGCAAGCAACAATGTTTTCAAATCTGTAATCAAAGAGGTCTGCAAAAACGCTATCGACCAATCAGATTGCTTGATTTGACTTGTCAGTTTTATAAATATATTTAAATTTCTTCCGTTACGAAACAAATTTACAAAGCATAAAATGGAAACATTTAAGATTAACTTCGACCTCCGGGGGGGTCTTACTNAACCCCTTTGACATCTTAGGGATCATGGTTAGAAACCACTGGGTGAGACAAAGTGCACTATCAAAGTAACGTTTGTTTCAAAAGGATTAACCTTTAATAACCAACATTTGCTGTTTTGCATTCTAATCCTAAATATACTGAATATTCAACAGAAGTGCCACAGGAAGTGTCTCTAGACCAGCAGTAGTTTTTAGAGAGTTATAGGTGNAGCTGTGATATAATGAGCATATATCACGGCCTGAAGTGAGCTATTGCTTTTATAAAACGGTTACCAAGTGTGGCAATATGAAAGAAAAATACACACTCTTAGAGTGTGTATTTTTCTTTCATATTGCCACACTTGGTAACCGTTTTATAAAAGCAATAGCTCACTTCAGGCCGTGATATATGCTCATTATATCACAGCTAAGGGGGTTGTCGACCCTCCGCTCGCGTCGGGCCGAACCACGCCCCTTAGCTGTGATATAATGAGCATATACCACGGCCTGTCGTGAGCTATTGCTTAATTAATCCTTTTGAAACAAACGTTACTTTGATAGTGCACTTTGTCTCAGCCAGTGGTTTCTAACCATGATCCCTAAGATGTCAAAGGGGTTAAATGTTTTTTGACTAACTTTATAATCTTTTCTCTTTTATTGTGAAATACCAGAGAGTTATACGTACCTGTGTATGGCTGTCAAACTCTCACATTAAACAATCTCAGAAACATCACTTTGGGTAAAACTAGTCTTATAGACAAGCAATGGATGACAAGAGGTCCCTACAAGAGTTGGCTTCAATTTGAGAGGTCACAGATCACGACGAGCCACAAAGATTGTAAACTACTGGTATACTTTTTGAATCCATGGTTTCTTTGGATTTCTAATAAATGCACATCTCTCATTGATCACTTATAATTCATCCCTTACACCACTTGCATGCAATACAGAGAGATTCAGTCAACCTTTCCATCACATTACTGTGTGTGAGGTAGGACGACAGATGAGTTGCCATTGGTGTGAGAGGTAAACCCAATGTGTAGAAACATCGCGTGAAACCTTGCGCATTGAGGTAAACTGTGTCTAAGTATTTCTGATGTTAACCTGTAAGAGCTTTAGCTGGATATTTAAGAAGAGGTGACAAACTAATAGTAACCATCGATGTACAAAGGGCAATACTTTTAATGTCAGTGTAAGTTATACATGTATAAAGTCAATTAACGGTCCAAACATGGTTTTAAGATACTTTTTGAAGGAAAACCCATCGTTGTTCTCGCCTTCCTACAACTACACATAACCTTGTGCTCCAGATGCTGTGGTGAGCTCATCCGGTGTAAACAGAGGAACACTCACCGAACACAAACTCAGCTCCACTCCAAATGACACTTTTCTCCAATTATCTCACCACGAATGAAGAAGGGCCGAGTCTCTCCTCTTCTCTGCAAATGTCCACGAGGTTATTCCGGCGATGTTACTTGTGTTTTCGCGATGCAGCGGCGGTTTCTTTGTTGCAGCAAACTGCAGCTCGATACATCCAGGCACCAGGGACCCGACGCTGAGTGTCAATTTACTCCGCAGAACGAGCGCTGATTGGTCGCTTCCACCACAACACAGAGTTCTGCTCTCATGCTATTGGCTCAGGCTCCTATGTTGAGTTCAGGGACTACTCGTAAACTCAAACTTCTGTTGATGGAGCTGTACACAAATAATATCAGGACTACTGCAGCTGCTATTACTATTAAAACTATTGCTCTAATACTAGTTTTTGCTCTAATTGTTTTATCAAATAACCGTTATATCAAAACCCTTGGTTTCTTACATAGCTGTATTGTATTTAGTATCTTATTTGTTCTACTTCATTTATCAAGTCATTTTCCTAAACATAAAGTTGTATTTGCTTTTTTTTATTTTATAATGGTACTGCCTCTATTTATGTTAGTATCTTTTAACACGTTGTTGTTCTTTATCTATGTGCTGCTATCTTTCCAAGACAGTGGTAAGGATGTATAAAGTAACAAAAAACAATCTCTGTGAAGACATTTTTCAATTGGACATTAGCATATGACATCTGAGTACGTTCATTTCATAGTAGGACCTTATTTTATTTTTTTCATCAAAATGATTCAAACCTTGGTTTCCCCCCGCCTTTCTAGTTTTAAACGTATTTTCAGTCATTACCATTCTAAGATTCCGACAGCACTTGAAGGTAACACAATCCCCATGCTTTGTATATCGTGCACATCCCATATTGTGGTTTCCAGCTGAATATTTGTCACAAAACATAGATTATAAGTGGTATTCAATTAAGATGCATAACCACAACCAATAAACTGATGTGCTGTAATATCTGAAATGTAGGCTGATGTGTAAAATTAGAACAGAGGAGAGTTGATTGATTAGCATCGAGTTGTAATAGGGCAGTGTTTGTGCTAATCAACCCTAACATCTGCACTACCAGATCAATACTAAATGAAGTGATCGAGTCCAACCCGCAATGTTTGATGATGGATTAATCCAATGTCCATCTAGGCATTACACATGCATTAGAGAAAACTACATATAAATCGATCACTTTATTGGCCTCTAATGTTTGAGCCTAAAATGTGTGTCTTGTTTGATGTATTGAAAAGTTCTTTATGACAATTTGGACTGCAATTTCATGAATGGAAATAGAAACAATTGATTACAATTTGAACTCATACTGGTAAATGCCCAGAGAAGCTATTTGGCTCCTCCTGGTGGTGATTGTATGTAAATACAAACAGTTCGTTTTTCCATCCATACCTTTCATACTTTACTTTCTAGATATGCACTATTATACTTTGCATTTACCTTAATTTTGTATGTACATACTGTATATACACATGATAGTAGTACTATACTATAGTATAGTATAGCTTATACTATTTATTCTGAGCATCTGTAACACACACATGTGTTAAGCAGGGATTAAGCTCACTATAACTAAAATCGAATCGAGAGTTTTTGAGCTTCTTCATTCAAAATTAGACTTTAGAAAAAATACTTTTTAATATGCCAACTGAAGGGATTTTATTTTACCATTTAAAATATATTAGTCATGAATGACATTAATTACCTTTCCAAAAATCCCAAGGTGGAACCTTTTAAACTCTAGGGGCTGCAAATACATGTACAACAATGTAGTTTAATAGATATACAATAATACAAAAAAGAAGATATTACTTTAGTTGCAAGTGGATTTTTATTTATTTTTGTTGAAAAACAAACAAACAAAAAAATCCATCAACGATTGAGCTGGCACAAACCAATGTGGCAGGTTTCATTGAACCCTGCTTGAGGCTCCAAGTTAATCATACAAAAAGAAAGTGGATTGCATACAAACACTGAAATGAGAGCTACACAGCAGAGTGAAATGTTTGTCCAGTTGTCTGTACGTTTCACATTATTGTTATTTGACCTCAAGTATTACTGCAATGTAGCCAAAAGACAGAACTATTACAACACAAGCCTCTTGAAGTGTACTGCAACACGTTTAAGAATATTATGCCTGAATGCACCGTATTTTACTATGATTGGCAAATTAAATACAATACTTATTTTTCAACATGAAAGCTGTGCAGACTTTATCATTTTAATATGGGGAATGAATATGCCGCGGTTGTAAACTGTGAACGGAGAGCTTGATTACAAACATCGTAAACGTTTTTAAGGTAAATTTGATTACGTGTTGGGTACAATTTGAAATGTGTTTATCGGGTTTTCCTAAAGAAAACCATTCTGTATAGTATATTCACTTTTTAACTGAATGTTGATGATACTTTCACCAACAACATTTTCTGTAACAGATTAGCAATTATGTTTTGTATTCAGTTTTTAACAGTTCCAACTGTGTACAGTGTTGTAGAAAGACAATTCCAGTTGTTGAACTCTCACATTAAAGTTATAACATCTTCATATTCACAACATGTTGTAAACAATACCAATGACGCGAACATCCAAACTTTGCAATATGGATCAGTTTTATGAAAGCAGTAAAACCGAGTAACCAGCGCTCCTGCACAAATGCGTTCATGGAAGTATTTGTCCTGCAGAGTTTGTAAGTGTAAGCAGAAGCATAAATGTTTGCATGAAGGGTTACAGAGACACACAAATAAACTCACAGTTTATACTGAAAGATAAATCAGTCAAGCAAAATCAATTGTCAACAGTCAATGTCAAACAAGGTTAGATTGCACAAAAATGCACCAATAAATTGCAAACTACAGCATGATCGTACACGGGCCTAAGAACAAAAAACAATAGATGATATGCATAAACAGTATCTATATTATATACACACACATTTGCACATCCTTCACAACTACTCAGGAATCTAAACTGTACAATATATCTGCTTTAAGAACAGTTGCGCAAAATACCATTTTGATATAAAGTAATACTTTTTTTTACTTCTACAATGTACAAGTTCAAACTGTCCACACAATAAAATGCAAGCACAAGCCCTAAAAGGCCACAAAAGTGCATGTTATCAGGTCAGTTGGAAGCCACTGGAAGGAAGGACTGGCGTAAGAGTGGGAGCATCTCCACACTCAGACCCAGTGTCTTGCAAGATGAATTGTTAGTGGAGGGAAATCTGGAGTAGATAATAATTAATATACATGCAGGCACACACGAACCGCAGAGGCTCAAACACACACATTCTTAAAACATAGTTGGGTGAGAAAGTAACCCACTCGTTAAACCTACACTCACACTGTCACAAACAAACAGGTAATGGGGGGATGCTGAAACTTCCAACAACATTGTCCCGCTCCAACATTTCCCCACACCGTCACATTTTATTCAAGTAGTGGCACTCCAATAATAGATACTTTAGTCTTGGTACCTTTTGAACAATCACACACATCTCAGAAAATAGAGGATACGAAAGGACACGTTAGTCTCGTGTTTTTCACACAAGGTATTTAAAGACCTGTCCAGCGACTGTGTGCAGGCCGAAGCTGGCCTTCTTTGCCAATCTTATTTTGGTGTTAACAAATAAAAACTGTGGACACAGAAGGCCAACTTCACCCGAAGCAAGTCACTATCAGGCGTAGAGTTATAGAGCCATGGGGGAAACACTGAATATCAGCCTTTCATCCAAATCTTAAGAAACACAAGCCAGTTTCTGAGGCATGTGTGGGAGTGACAGGCCATCACAAGCTCATCTCTGTGTTTTCCTGTTTAAGGCAAGAAAGCTCACTGCTGTGATTAAACTTCAGGCCATCAATAGGGGGAGGGGGGCTGCAGTGTTGAGAGGGGAATGCTTGAAGCCACACTTTTTTGTAGTGCAAAGATGGTGACTTTAAAACAGACCCAAGTCTTTGTTTCCTGCTTCCTTCTGACATTCTGCTTACACGGCTAACTGCCAGTCGTCTGATTGTAAACTAGTCTCACAGCACTGAAGCAAGACCAGTGCAGACAAATAGTGCCAATAGAGAACCATTGACCTACATTAGTTTTCATTTCTCCTGTCCAATTGTAATTACCTCCAAGCATCCCCCTTTTAAAATATCATCGAGTGGAAAGGCAGTTTTTCAAGGGAAGGGTGCAAACTAAAACCTTTTTCAGTTAAGGCCACTGAATTGTGCTTAAATTATTGTATTTTTTAGGGGTGGCCTTAGTTTACAAGGGGCCAAACTCTGTATTTATACTGCCAGTGCCTCATTTATTCTCCTATGACCTTTTTTTGGGAACTGTAGCCAACTCTATCGGTTTCAAGGATCTGACAAAGGGACCTGGAGGTGTTGATGCTGATATGGTGAAGAAAGGGATTTCCCTTCCTCCAATTTCCTCATCTTTTGTCTTTTTTTCTTATTTTTTTTCTTCTGGTCCTTTAGAGTATTATCGGTTTTCCTTTGGTCTTCATTTTAACATGTCGTCTAGCCTACCCCCACCCAAGGGCTTTCTTCTCAGTCATTTGCTTATTGACTCCCTCTTTAAACGAGAAGGAGACGTACCTGGTGGGCTAACGGCCGAGCATGTAGACCACCACCTCGTAGGTGAACATCATGATGGCCGTGTTGGGGATCTGTCTGACGAGGTGGGTGGTTAGGCCGTGGTACAGCGCCCGGTATCCCTCCTCACGGGATACCAACAGCAGAGTCTGGAAGAAGGAGCGATACTTGCTGCCTTCCTCTCGTAGCCGTGTGCGGATTACCTCTGCGATTAGAGAGAAGTAGAAGAAAATTATGTTAAGGTCTCAAAAAAAAGGCTGCTATTTATTAATTAATCTTTTGGTATACTGATTTTCTATAAATAAGGTATAAGAGGTATTGATTTGTCCCAGAATGACTTCAGACAAAGGGTGTTTGAAGCGTTGCATTCAGCTGTGGGCTGTGCGTAGTCGGAGAATGACAGTGATATTTATAGCATAAGGGGAGCATCATATTTTCCAATACGAAAGTATGAGTCACTCTCTCACTATAAATGTTACATTCATAGTGAGAGATGCTTTTTTAGATGGTTTATCCCTTTAAACTATCAATGACTGTTTTTGAATGTATGTTTGTGTATAGATTAAACAACTAAAATATAATGTGTTGGCTGATGAGCTTGGTTTACAGTCTTAATGCTTTGCTACCTAAGCTTCTGTTGCAATCCTATTAACAAAGGGCACAGGCGACCAGAGTCCCTAAGAGAGAGAAGTGGAGTAGAGGGATGTCTTTACAAAAACTACCCTGTGTTTAGGGAATAAAACTGCCTTTTTATAAATCGGAGATTGCAAGAGTAAAATTGTGGTACTTTCTAAGGTACCTGAACCAATCATTCCCAGGCTCTTAAGGTCTTTATCCTCACATTAAAAGTGTTACTATTAATTCAGTTGCCAAAAATGTTTGATCAGGATTAATAAAGGATTAATGGTTAGCTAACCGTGCCGACAGACAAATGACGGGATCTTTTCATTTCAAATACTTTAAATACTTTTGGTTTACATTACGGTTGTGTAAAGAAGAAACACCAGATTGTGTTGAATGCATTTCTACCGAGTAGATTTGGTTTAAAGCACATTCAAACTTTGAAAACATTTATCAAAATTAAGCATTTTCCAGACTGCTTACACTTTGAAACAGAGAAAAACCGTGGTAAAACAAGGGCATATATTTCGGGATCTCTTTTTTAAGGTTCATGTCTTCAGAACTAGTTTTGTGACGTGAGGAACTCAGAAAGTAATTTTTTTATGGAGTTAATGGTTTGGTCTTTTTAAGGGATCTTTGGTCATTTCATGCTACAAGAGACAGAAGGTTACCATGAGGGTAGGCGATGGAGGTGGCGCAGGTCTTGGAGGTGGCTGCTGCGAACATCATGGCCACAAAGTCTGAGGCTTCCTTCACAGTCTCTTCCTCTTTGTCCATGCTGGAGCGGGCCTTGTACTCCAGCAGTTTGCGTTTGATGTTCTCATAGATGACAAAGTGAATAACGGTCTCAGAGATGCCAGCGTATGAGGCTGACATTCCCCTGTAGAAGCCTCGCAGGCCGTCCATCTGGTAAACCCGCCGCACGCACTCAAAGGCGTTCATTCGCCGCTCACCCTTGTTTCTGGAATCATACAGAGACTTTTAATCCATGTCCAATAACAACATGAATTCATTTTCCTTTTTATTTATTATTATTAAAGTTTCCTCACCTGGTTTCCAGCTGCAGGCGGGTCTTGATCAGCCAGATGGGATTGGTGGCTGTGATGGCGGTGAACCCTGGGAATTTCAGAGGAGGACAGAGGTTGAGACAGAGGCACAGACATTTGGAAGAACACAATCTATTCTACTATATTACATATTCTATATTGCACAAGGACAATGAAAAGCACTTCACTAAACAGGATCAACTTCAGAGTTTTACTTTACTATGAGATATTTTATTACTATACAATATTTGTATATATTAAATCTTTTTTGAAAGATCAGAATTATTTTAGCTACAGATAAAAATGTATGTTTTCCCATTGATCCTCTTCATGTGAAATGCTACACAAGTGCATGTAAACAAAAGCTCTCTGACTGAAGTAAAGTATCTTAACGAACTAACTAATAGTGCATAAAGGCAGCAGCTGTGAGGGCTTTCTTTTCTCCATTTGTCATCTTAATAACTTTTCTAACTGAAACACTGGGAAATGAGGCCGAGCCGCAGAGTCGTTTTAGGCCTTTGAGTGAGGCAGATTGTTTATGATGCAGACTATTCATTTCCTTGAAATGATAATTAGAGCTCTTGTGTTTTTAATGAAATCATTTGCTATTGAGACATGAGCTCTTCTTAATGAGCTTACGGAGGCGGTCTGTTTTTCTAATATCATTACTTTCAATGTGCTTTGAACACACAGAAGTATTGGCCTAATACAAGAAATTCATTCCACAACTTCGAGTCACAACACAGCTTTGATTATTTGATATCATTGGTTAGTCATTGCTATAAATGTTCTTTTAATTTTGCTCCTTCAATATGAATGTTCCATCTTTATTAGTCAATGAATGAACATATTTATGTTTATTCTGCGACTTTGATCAAAGCAGTAGTTAACTGGTTGGACACTAGAGACAGGCTGTAGGCCTGATACTAGCACCACTACAGGACAGAGAAACAAAATGGTGTCTGGAGGAGATTCTTCAATTATTCAGCAGGACTAAAGTGGAAAGTCTCAGACGGGAAATTTAGAGCCGACTTTTCATCCTGCTGGTGAGCAACACTGTTGACCATGTCAAGTAGCCTTCGGCCAATACAAATGTTAGCTTTGTTTTAAACCTGGGTCCCTCAATAATGGGGTCCCTGAAATTGCATTTAAAATGCACAGAGTATATACTAAGCAGATGTGAGTTTGTGCATGTGTTTGTTTGAGTTATTTAAGGTTGAGGATGTTATTTTATTTTTATCAAGTAGAAACGCTGGGAAATGTAAAGTAAGTAAAGTTTGATGTGTGGTGTGTGAAGCTAACTAATGAGCACTTTGTATCCCTAAGAAATGGCACAAAGTCTCTCTAAAAGTTTCTGATACGAAAGATGTAACAGTAAGAAATAAAAACATGGCCATTGCAGAAAAGAGCTAAGACGAAGGCAAGTCTAGAAAGAGACCTGTCACATCTAGTGATTCAATGCAACACTGCCCTACGTTAAGGCAACGGCGTGAAGAAGAGAGGAAGACACAGGTCTGTTGAAGAGAAGGAGAGAAGAACAAAAAGAGGAAGAAGAAAAAAGAGGGAAGTAGAAGGAAGTAGCGTCTATGGCGTGTACTCACGAAGGAGGGGCAAAGCTCCTCCAGCTCCTCCCCGCTGCAGCTAGTAGCCTGCAGATATGGGGGGCACAGATGGCGGGGGTCTCCCACCCAATCACGCAGGGGTGAAAGCTTTACAGTAAAACCCTAAAATAGACACAGGCTTTTCTGTACCACAATCGCACACAAGCAGCAGTCAAATCCACCCCCAACCCCACCAACCAACCACCCACCCTTTAATTGACTCTTAGTTATAGAATTAAGTTGTTTTCAATTTCTTTTACTTACAGTTGATAATTCCCTTTATTCTTTTTATCAACTAGAATAAAATGTTGACTGAACACAAGCCAACCCAATCCAAAACTCCAGCTCCATTTCACCAGAGTGAGGTAAATACACAAGTACAAAGGAAGACAATTTAATTTAATTTTGCTATTATCAGTTAATGAATAATATATATATATATATATTAGATTAATAATTAAATCAGATGCATACTGAAATAATGTAGAAAATTAAAAGAGGCAGGTGGAAATGCTAACCTTGTCGTTGAGACTGAAAGCGGTGGACAATGGTGATGAAAGTAGTGAAATATTTGTATGAATATGTGATGACAAAAGGAAGTGGTTGATCATAGGAAAGTGAATGAATGGGGTGGAACAGTGAGTCAGCTAGCACCAAATATCTGGGCTAAACCTCATTCTGGAAAAACTGGGATCAATTTAAATATAACACTAGTCCTTAAAAATGTGGAGAGAAATATGTCTCTAGGGAGTGAGGCTTATAGAAAACACATCAAATAACAATGTCGAACAAAAGGACTCTGGAAATCGCAACCTCAAAACGGTTTTCCAAAGTTACTGAATGACACCAAGTAGTGGTTTTGATTTATATTTTAAAGATGAATTTTTAACCGAGGCAGATTCAATGTAGCTGTTAATGGGTAATTTAAGTTGATGATATGAATACTTTTAGTTAAATATGTTAATTGATCATGTATTTTTGTCCTTGCATGTTTATGCTTAGCATTTTTTGCTGCTCGTTTACAACATGGCTTGTCTCGATAGGACAACATGTCTCAATGGATAAGTGATATGTGTACAAATATGAAAGATGAAAACATTTTTCATCGTGACTTCATCTGAACCAATAACGCATGACTAAAAAGGTCTCAATGTAACTGTATGTATGGAACAAAGTAACTCCAGAAATACTCAAAGTAAATCACAGTTGGCAGATTAAATAAGCCATGAAGAACACACATAAAGGTATTTAAGCCTCTGTGAGGAGCCTCATCTGCAGGTGGGCAGGCTGCTGCATGTCTGCAGTATGGCCTTTTATAGCCACATCATCTTTGTGTTCCTCCAGAGGATGTTAACCTACATATATGGAAGGACAATATGCTCTAAATTAACTCCAGGTCTAAATCTAAAATTGGGACTAGCCTCCCTTACTTTTCAAAGTCAAAGGGACGTCGTAAGAGGCAGTGACTTCACAAAGTTAGTGAGGCTTTCTTTAACCCTGCATGAAATATTTGCACATGCACAACAAATGTATCTGTGCAGCAACTGTGAAATAAATGATTACTGCAGTACAACTACAGAGGTTTGTATTATTCAGATCTACGGATAAATGAATGCAACAGCTACACTGATGACTAAATGTGTGTAGCATAAAGAAACAAAAACACTAAACTGACTTTTCTATATGGTCTGTTAAAGTTTGCCCAACTCCATAACATGTTGTTTCTTTACTGCATATTGCACACATACAAGTACAAATTTGTGTTTTTTAAACTGGTGCCAATACTGTTGAGGTAAGTTTGTGAAGGAATAATCTTTATTTAAAAAAAAGAAGTTCAACCAATAAAAAAAAGAGGAAGCAATGTCAACATATTAATGATTTTCCTTAAGAATACATGTCAAAGAAATGAGTCCGTAATTGTTTTGATGCATGGAAAAGACAAAATGGAGCACATCAATTACCACCTATAACCTGTGGCAGTGACAAGGTTAGCATTTCTTTGGTGCTGACAACATCAAATCCAGATTATGTGTCATAGCTTTAACTTTACTATGTTTATGAAACAAGGGGAAGGGGAGGTGTTTGTCAAAACTAAGAAATAACAAGCCTTAAAATAAGATCCTAAAACTACAGACCAGCAGCTAACACGGTGCCATAAGCAATGATCACAAATGAATAACCATTATGAACTGTCTAATATTCATAAAAATCACCATGGTTTTCATCATACCAGTGTAAAGAAATGGGATGCTACCTGCCGTGTCCGCCCGAGTGCCAGGGGCCCCAGTTGACCTTTGGGGGCCGTGCTCTCTCCTCTATACACACAGAGCAAAGAAGGGGGCCCAGACCACACTGTTCAAGTAACAACTGTGATGTTAAACCATTTACAGTCCTCTGGAGACGCTTCAAAATTAAATAAAAAGAGGATGAGAGGGCAAGGAGGAAATAAAAAATAATGGAGGACATGGGGGACAAAAGGGCTAAGAGAGGAGGAAAGCACAACCTAAACTTTGAGGACCGTGAGGTTTGTCAAACAAATACAAATATATACGTGTTATAAATACCAGCAGTGGCACATTATAGCCTCAATTGTCTCGATACCGGGTTTCATTTGCATCAAAGTCTAAGAATGCTGATATAGCGTGTGTCTCCTCAACTATACTCTATGTTGTCTGGCAAGGCAGCCATGAACATACAAGATGGTTTGTTTATAAACTGCGTTGAAAAAACTTCAACTCAGGGTCGAAAAAAACGGTCAACATAATTGGCATTTTTTCTTCTATTGTCCAATTGGTTTGATTGAGAGGCGGGCCTCCTTTGGATGCTGTTGATTGATAGCCAGAGCCATATGACTTTACCAACCAAAGTTACCATGATCTGAACAGAAAACAGCCCGGAGGTAAGGAGTTAGTATGGTACTTGAGATTTTGTGTTAGTTGTTTTTGTCAACTTAAACTGTATAATTACAAGTGTACCGTTTATGGTTTCTTTTAAGCTAGCCCTTAAACTCTATCAGTGGTTGCGTAGCATTGATCAGCAGAAAACACTTTGCCTGGTCTTCTTGAATAAAACAAAGCAGGGTGGTGCGTATTCTGATCAGGACCACAGTAAAAGTTAAATTCATCTTTAATGGAAGGTTTTGTTTCACAGTACACGCAGTGAGGCTGTTTTCATCACAATCAAGGTCGAGGTCAGTTTGATCCTGAGAGTCTTAAATTGTGCTTTCTGATAAACCACCTATAGTTTATATTTCATAGTTCCATACATAAAACATCTTCGTAATAATGCCTACTTGTAAAATATATCATATATTAGATCTTGCATGCTTTTTGATATTCACAAGCTTTTAATTTGTGAAAATCTCACCAGCCTACACATGTATATTAAGAGGGGGGTAAAGGGGATGGGGGTGATGGGAAACTCTGGGGTATTTGAACTTGTGAAAGTGATGAAAAGTAAACTGTCTGATGAAGACAAACTGAATAAGTCTTTAACATTTTTTTTTTATAAAACCCATCAGTGATTTACACTGCCCAGGCAGACAGACAGCAGAGATAACGCTCAGCGACAGACAGGGACACACAGACAGAAGGGGGAGGGGGGGAGCCATCTTTACCTGCCAGCCCAGCCGACACCATGTGCACCTGGGTAGAGTCCGGCTCCAGCACGCCATTCAGCTTCTCCTTGGCTGTCGAATAGGCCCCAAAGTAGATCGCTCTGTTGCAAATAATCAGAACAATAATCAACCTCTAGACTCTATAAACAATACATTTACAATAAAAAGTGTATGATAGGTATCAGGGTTTAAACTATGAGTTAAGCAAATAAAAACAAATAGCCACAAACACAGAAAAAAATATTATGGCAAGATTTTAATACAGAATATCATTAAGTTAAGTAAGTGCATTATATATGAAACCATTATTTGAATTGCCTGAATTAGTACTGCCAAAAGTGAACGTGAGGGCGTGCAATAGAGCTAAGCCAAGCTAATATGTATCTGTGTGTGTGCACGCTCTCAATCTCAATGAACGCTGCTTCTCACTAAATAAAATCACCGGATTTACTCAACATTTGGAGTGGAATTAAACCCAATGACCTTGACTCCCTGCCCTCCTTCTCAAGAGCATTCATGCACAACATAATGCCGATCGGCACATGAGAGACGATTTATGTGTGTGTTTGACCCTCTATGTGTATATGTATCTCTCATATGTAATACGTGATGCTGTTGTTGCAAGCAGTATGTGTGTGTGTGTGTGTGTGTGTGTGTGTGTGTGTGTGTGTGTGTGTGTGTGTGTGTGTGTGTGTGTGTGTGTGTGTGTGTGTGTGTGTGTGTGTGTTTCTTCTAAACGCCAGCAGCAGGCCCAGTGGACTGAGCTTTCATTAGCATCATGAGATTGTTTTTTTAGCTCTCCAGCGACAGACTACTGCTTCCTTATTAAAACAGGAGAAAATAGCTCTGTAGCCAAGCAACCCAGGCCTTTCTTGTAGACAAATAAAAATGCAATAAATGAAATGTATTTGATTGTGTCTGAATCCTCAGCTCAATCTAAACTGGTGTTTAAATAGAAAATAAATGACATCTTATGTTGCCATACATCTTCAACACCAAGCATTGATCCAATAGTTTCAATTTGGCAATTTGTTATTATCATCCAGTGAAATCTCTACTAGTATGATACCAGAAGGCTGAACTAGGGAATCTAGCTGCTCCGAGTAATTAGTGATAATTTAAAATATATTTTTTAAGATATCCTGAATGTGGCAATAAAGTAATAAAAAAGGGTTTACATTAAATTATTTAAACAAATATGTAGTTGAAAGTGATACAGCTTCAGTTAGGTGGTTGGAAATCATGTAATACATCCATAACCAAATGTGATGATATACTGTATCTGTAATTTTACACAGCATGTTAAGATTTATATTAATATGGTTATATATTTTAGCAGGGAAAACATGTCCTCGTAATATGGCCTGAAGTGGTTCTTATACCCACATGCAAAACAGCCGGAAATCTCATATGTTGCCATTGAGTTCATCAGGGTGACTTGTTATGCAACAATATCTTCCTATAGCATTTTGCTATTGCTGTCGTGACCAGAAAACAGGCTGCCATTTCCAAAGCTGGAGAACTAGCCCACGGGAATGATACACACACGCACACACACGGGGACATTTATTATCCCTCTGAGAGTCTGAGCCACACAGATTGAGACAGCGTAGAAAGTGCAGGACCCAGAGGAGAGGACAATTCTGATTTAATCTATGCCAAGAATGACAACACGGTGAAACAAAGGTGAGAATAAGAATATGGAAAGGATGACTCAGATGGAGATTGAGTCCAAAACGAACCAACGGGAAGAGAGCGACAATGACCATGTGATGCAGCCGTAGCCAGGGAGAACTAGACAGGTCAGGGGGGGGATTAGTCACGAACACAGCTCTCCCAATAGGAACTCCATTGTGATGATACACATCAACATCAACAACAGTCACATGGTCAGAGCGTCACAGCTGCCTGCTGTTGATGAGGTTTCATTCAGACTCTGATTGACTGAGTTCAGGCTGTTATGTAACCCTGACCAGCCAAGCTAACAGAGAGGGAAACAACTAATTTCCCTGTGGGATTTAAAGACCAGATTGCTGGCCTCCTATTATTGCTACCAACATAAGCTCTGAATGAGCCGGGAGAAAATAAGAAGATCAGGCAGGAGCAAATACATGCCTCAACACAAATATGTGCCCATGTTTGATATGACATGTCAAGTAAATTATGGAGAAGTTATTTATATTCTTTAATCTATAAGTCTTGCTGGTGCTGGAATAGTGGTTCTTCCTTAAGGTTTGTCATAAAAATCTAAGATTGTGTTCACTAATTTGCTGGTTATCAGACATGCAAGTTATGGTTTAGGACTAGGTTTGAATCTTATTTTCTATTCTATTTGTTTTGGCTTGATTATGTAAAACATGTACACAGAACATAATTAAAAACTAAAGAAAAAATAATAATGGTAAACATGTATAAGCAGCTTTCTATAAGCAACATACATTTTAGTCATAATCTGACCCTATAGTAATCAACTTTCATGTGGTGGTGCAGGTGAAGGTGCAGGTTAAGATAAGTAGGAGAAGACATGCAACACACCCAGAATACTGTAGATAATACTGAACATACCTGGAAGGTGCCACACCCACGATGTTTGGGCCCAGTCCTCTGAGGAGTGAACGAGGTCCCTCTTTCTCTAGAATCAACCTGTAGAGAATTAAAGATTTGAATTCATGTTCTATTGGTTATTCCAGCGTAATACAGAGCTAGTATACAGTATTTTTAACAACAAGCATGAAATAAAACGTATACATATATATATATATATATATATATATATAGAGGGCGACTGTGGCTGTGAGGGAGTGTGGTCGTCTTTCAACCAGAAGGTTGTGGGTTCGATCCCAGCCCATGCAGTCAACATGTCGATGTATCCTTGGGCAAGATACTTAACCCTGAGTTGCTCCCGATGGCATGGCCAACGGGGTGTAATGTGTGTGAATGTTAGGTCCTAGAGTAAGGTACACTGCTCTGTATGAATGGGTGTGAATGGGTGAATGACATGTAGTATGTAAAGCGCTTTGAGGGGTCTTAAAGACTGGATAAAGCGCTATATAAGTACAGTCCATTTACCATACCATTGGGTTATTATTCATGGGAATGGCTAGAGAATAAATATATACCAATTAATACCACTAATGTCTGTCTGATAGATATAAAATACAATTTGAACAAGAAATAAACAGCAAGCCAGTTTCTGCAAAAATGCTGGCGCTAGCTTATTATTTTTCATTTTTTTCATGTAACCCTCACCAAAAAAGTCAATTACTATGTTTCCCAAAATATCAAACTATTACTGTAAGAAAATTACAATTTATTGTGTGCGAGTTACACACACATAGTAGATATTTATCTCACAGTCATATGTAAAAAAAACTCCCTTACATGCTATAAGATCACAGAAAATGAACAAAGCTAATAGAGGATGTTTATAGGGCACCATGGGAAAGTGCCCTTAGCATGTGGACAGGAAGTTATAACATTTTGGGCAATCTGTCAGGACCTGACACTCAGTACAGCCTGACATTACACGCTGGGTCACTATCAACATACTGGGTCACCCAAAATAAAGGAAACGGTAGGTGTCTTGTGTCAGGTGGTGTTTATATCATGACAGCTCAAATCGTCTGTTGTCACCTGAGTTCAAAGAGCAGTCTCCAACACTAACCTAGATAACCTCAGTACGGTTTATGGTTGACCTTCTTTCACCGCACGTTTTCACATAAACGGTGATGTAAAGTGTGTTCAAACAAAAGCTGTTCTGGCAAGTAATACGAGACGAGAAAAACGAGAAAAGTAGTCCTCTGGGCTAGATAATAAACTGGTCCTTTGGGGTAGATTAAATTCCCAAGATTTGAGCCTTCCCACACAATTAAAAGAAGACACAGCCCATTATATCCTGGAGGAGCTATATAGCTGTATTTTGTCCTGGATGTGAGTTCTGGAAGGTCTTGTTAATATATCCATATTATAATAATGTAGTGATATGAGGGTACACACTGAGTAAGATTTTGGATATTCTGATATTGTAATATGGCACAAGTGCAGTTCCTCGTCTTAAAGGCTGCATTAAAGTAGAGTTCTAGCATTTATCCACATTACTGATCATTTTGTATCAACAATTGCAGTGTGCTGATATTTTGTGAAAGCACTAATAGTGGACTCTACATTGACAACAATAACATTGATATTTGATATTCTGTTTACCGCCCAGCCCTAGTTTGTGGGTTCAGCTTTCCTATTCTGAATATAAGATTTCTGCTCATTGCGAAATACTTCAACCCAAAAGGGACTGAATAAAATAAATCTCTTAAAATACACACAAATGACAGCAGCCTCCACAATCCCAAAACGTAAATCCTAAACTAACACACTGCACCAAAATGGAACAGTGCCTGCACCTCCCTGCACGTTGACCCACTTTTGACTCGTGTGGGTTTTTTCCTTTCCTTGCTACACCGTCCTTCCCTCTTCTGTCCTGCTCTGCTCTGTATCGAGTAATGGTGGTGTACAGTTTCTGCAAGTGGCTTTTCATATCAAGGACAACACAAGAAGCATTTATAACATAGCCTTGTTAAAGCAGGCAAACGGACAAAGACATACACTCCCATTTAGTGCAACAGCAAGGGAGAAAACCTATTTTTCTTTGCCAAACAAATGTGAGAACAACTAATTCTGGTTAAAATGTGTAATGTTGGTGACGATTAAGCCCTTCTGTTGAATTGTGAAAGAGCAAGATAGCAATATGCTGGCAAATCTGACTTCCACAGTAATTACCTAGGCTAAAAATAATTGCGAGGTGAAACATGATCATGTGGTCCGGGATTCCTACATTGCAATATAATTAATGCAAGCTTTTGGGTGGAAAGTTTTACACACAGCAGCTTGTGCATTATGCAATATGTTTAACACAGTGTGACAGTCATGGTAATATGTTGCCAGCGAACAATAATGGACAACTAAGTAGCTAAGTTGAACATTTACTTTACCACCGTTAATGCCTCAGTGACCAAGAGTAATTACAGCCCAGTGGTATTCAGTTGGTTCAAAATAAAAACCTAACCAAAGTTGGATTCCCCTACTTCCACTTCCCATCTTTGTGTCATTTTAGATTCTTTAATGATAATAGGAAGGGCAAATCGTGTGACAAAAAGGGAACCATTTACTGTGTATTTCTTATATTGGTTTTCAAGTATTCATTTGGAAAAAGTACCAGAAACAGTCAGTGGTTTACGGTTGGAATGATTCTTAAAATGGTTGGTTGTGGATTGTGCTGTTTTCTAACTAAGGAAATAGTTAAAGAGATCCAAAAACAGTAGTCTAAAAAACTTGGCTAAAAACATGCTTAACCCACTTGGCTACGCTAATGTAACCTTTCTTCTCCTGAAGCATTTAAGGAGTCATGAGGAGGAAAGTAATTATCCTTTAACATGCATATTTGTTCTTAAACCCACAGGAAGATTACAGGTCAAACAACCAATTTCACTATTACTGTGGATTCACTGTACAGTACCAAAGCCCTGCCCATCTTGGTCAGTGACAGACAAGTTCAACAACTGACATGGACGTTTGTTGTGACAACAAACACAGATTGTGCCACAGCTTTGACAGGCTTATTGCAAAACTAACCAGGACCTTCACTTTGGGTCTTTCAGACCTTCTTCCTTTCTGCTACTTTGCACATTCAGTGCATGAATAATTCAAAGAAGAATAACTGCAAAAAATGCTTTTTAATAGACATGTCTTTGCCTGAATTTGTGCTGCTGATTTGTTACTGTAGCTCATAGCTTATCAAAATGGTATGGTTGAAAGTTAGTACGAATCCCATTTAGAGTAATTCTCCTTACTTGAGACAGTGCAGAGGCCCTGGTGGAGCGACACGGGCCACACTGGCTCCATTGACGGTGTTGAGCTGGACTTCAGAGATGTAGAAAGTGACGGAGGAGGACTGCAGTCTGGTCTTCACAACCTCCAGAGGACAAGTCACAATTGCGCCCACTGTGCCACCACATCTAAAAGAATGTAGGGAAGGGGCGCAGGAAGAAAGGGTGCAAAAACAAAGGTGAAAATAAATCACAACGCTCTGTTTAAGCATATACATTGATAAAAACTGAGAGGGGCCTAATCAAATGAATGATAATTAAATAACTACAAATTCATCACATATCCAATATTACTTGTATTTTGTTTTCATTTTGACTTCTTAAATGTAATGTCATCTTTAAAAAGTTTCTATAATAGGATGCATTATTATATTTGTTCAAATTATCATCTATATTTGGCCTATTTCCTCAGCAAGTTCTCTTGTTTTATTCCATCCTATAATACTGATGTTCCAAACCACCGGTAACACAATCTGTTTTTCCTTCTAGCACTAAAAGTATCCAGGAGCAGGCAAACATCCACACACTATTGTTGTGATGTGCAAGATACTCAATCCGAAAAGCTGCCAGCTAAGAGAACTTCACCATGGCTGAGTGGAGCTGAAGCGACTTTGCTGACTGTTGCCATCGGAGAAGGCAAGAATGAGTTGTCGTGAAAAATATACTGTTGTTTGGCTGACTCCCTGAACTCCTACTCATATGATCACACCGTAAATATAAAGATGACTGACTGAAGACAAAACATTAAAAGCCAAAGTAGTCAGCCAATGAAGTTCTCCCTCAATATGTAGCATTGTATTATCCTATTAATGTATTATGTTTATATCAGTACTTTATTCTTATGTTCCCATGGCTACCAGATGTAACCTTAAAACAATAGTCATCGTCAATCACCTCAGTGTTCAGGATTTTATTTTAGACAGAGCTTCACAATCAAACCAGCACAAAGCTAGAAAGTGCTTGTTTACTGCCATGGTGAAAAACCACACAAATATTCTACACGTCAAGTTAAGTGAATAAATGATATAATTAATAAATACAACTAAATAGCTGTAGACTACTGCTACGGTGGTAAATGGTGCATCCTAGCTGTTAGTTGTGAAATCATCCAGCTGCAGTCTCTTTTCAGTTACACCAGCTATATTTACCTTTCAAAAGACCGAGCCACATTCATGCTGCTCACAGGCAGCCGTGACCCTTAGCCTACTTTCAGAGCTACGCTGTCTGCTGCATGTGTGTGTGCTTCACTTGGCCGCCAGAGGAAACACTGTGTTCAGGTCTTGAGCTCAGGTATTTAGGGAAAGTAAAAGTGATTTTGCTGTTACTGACACTTCGTTTTATTTATCTTATCAAACTATTAGGTTCTTAACATGGCTAATTTCTGGAGTGGAGGAGCAGCACTGATGTTGTTGACGCTGCTACTTCAGTAAATTAACGAAAGAGCAGCAAGAAGGCCGGAAATAAAATGATTGTTTTCAAAATAAAAGCGTAATCTCTTGCTGGTTGACAAAAATAAGTCTATGTTTTAACACATTTATAAACAAAAAATAGTTGTAACTACTAAGGTGTATAGCCCAAGTCACCCCTTAGCCAAAACTTGCTCTCTAGGTCAAATTAGTGTGAATATTTTACTTTGCAAACTGTCATATTTTGAAATGTTAACAGGAAGTTGAGTTTGATTCGACTTTTTGGCACTGGCGTGCACAAATGACAGGTTAGTAGCACATGCACGCGCTGCACATACAATCGGTTATGTGTATTTAACATTAGCCAGATCAACCAAACGACGAATTATGTTTTAAATGTATGAAATAACATGTGTAAAGTAATGTGTTACTCTAACTTACCCTCCAGCGAACAGATGAACCAGTGTGTCCCTTTGGCTCATTATTTAGCACTCCCTGCCAGGCAGCGCACCTCAGGGCTGCGGCAAAGGGTCAAACACGAGCTTGGCTCCCGTCTCTTCCCGATGCTTTCCTCCTCCAAGGCGATGTACCCGTCGATGGGCAAATTTCGTCGATGATGAACCAGCGGCGGGGCGAGTCCGCGTTGATTCAGACTGCAGTGGGCCGACAAACCCCCCTCTGTCGCTCTCGGCTTGCTCAGGTTCGCCTCTCACACAGATAGCTGTTTATCTTCGACTTAACAACCGGAGACCTGCGAGCTGGCCGGGCTAACAGCTGGAAAAGGAATATCTCAGCTCTAACGAACAGTTTTATGGCACATCCACGGGTTAGTCTCGATTATCTCCTCTGCTTTCATCGCTGCAGCGAGAGGGAAGGAGGCAGAGCTCATAGTACTTACTGTACAATCATAGGCTGGAATACAGACGCTGCTATTGGTCAATCTGGCCCCTGACGTCACGGACCTGAACATGCACTGTTCGCATGTTTAGAGATGACTCAATCAGAGATGATTTATGCTGCAAACCTTTATCTATCATGGTTTACGAAATATATATAGAGGTGTGACACATTTTGGGATGAAAGTCATTGGACAAGAACAGGTATATATGTCTATGGTTGTCTCATTGATACAAAGATAAAAGTAAAACAGCCACAACAATAAAACAACATAGATTAGGCCGAATAAACATCTTTACAATATTTGAAGGTTTATAAAGCAATTGTAGGTAATATTGCATACTGATGCTAATACCCGAGATTGTGTAATGGCCTATGGTAAATACATTATCGGATTTGGGGGATTTTTTGCATCAATGTAATGATTCAATTCAGCCAATTTCCTGGATTATCGGTTTATTTAACCTTTATAACGTTTATGAATTGAATTTCACAATGATAAAGGCTACAATATAACAATATTAAAATAAAATTGAAGATTGGAAAATATGTTTTTTCTACTTTGACACTTTACTTTTGTGAAAATTCTGCTAATTAAAACAGTAGAGTAAAACACATCGAATCTCATATGGAAAAAACACATTGAAACACAATTACATAAACAATGCACAATATAAGCTTCATTAAAAGAGACCCTAGGTAGGCCTACTTGATGCAAGGACTGAATCAAGGTTTAACGGGTATTAAATGCTATGAGTTTCACCCAGTATGAATGTGAAAGTCAAGGATGCTCTAATTCACACCCTTAACCCTCCAATAGCTGGAAGTCAGCTCTTTAATCTTGCTGTCACTGTTTCAAATACAGTGTAAAAAAAATACAATGCTAAGGGTTTGGCTTTGAAGGCTTTAAGCTTTTCCCTTTGACAAACACTGGCAAAGCTCCAACGTCGGGATTTGAGGTCCAAATCTTTACATGTACTCTAATATGATAAAGTATACTCTGTTAAATGTATGGATGAAATCAAGCCACTGTTTTGGGGATATTTTTTATAGTTGAATCAAGCTTTTAAATAAGAGCATTTACTTATTCAATATAATCAGGGGTACTTTAAATTAGAAAATGCTCTATGTATGTTCTTTGTCTTTTGCTATTGGGTGTAGCTAACCCCTAATGCGTGTTAAAGTGCACTGTGATAGCACTTAGCATGGCAGGGGACATGCAGTTTAATTATCTTTCCCCAATAAGTCTGCCTTTACTACATGCTTATTCATCTGAAAAATGCTAACCAATGACCTGACTGCACTCAGAATAGTCAGTTGGTGATTTAATAATGGAGCTGAACGAGTACGCACAGTTTTTTAATTAGGAGCACAGTATGACAAGTTGGAGTCATGTGCATGGTTTCACTGTTCACATTTGTAGAGTAAAAACTAATAATGTAATGTCCTGCATTAGAGAGGTTATGAAAGTCTCATGACTAGGATGGCGGTGGAAAGAGTGATTTGGTGTCAGGTGAAAAGGTGCAGTGTGCCTCTTGTTGTTACGCAATACCAAATTAAGATGGAATGAATGGGTTTGCTTGAATATATTACACTGGGTTTTTGTATGGACAAGCCATCTTATTTATTTATTTGTTGGATATTATATCACAGGCACTGGCAATTTCTACAATGCAATTACCAGTTATCTACATTTGTGATTTCCCTCAAGATTATATGAAAACCAATGAACCCAAGGCATGTCAACTCTGCTGAAGTGCTTTATATCTTCAGAAAACTATCTCATATTTGATGGCCTTTAATAGCTGGATTGTGATAAAGTAAATGGTCTCAAGAGTATGTCCTGATTGACAATTGGGAATTGAATATACATGTGTAGTGGGAGAAAGGCAGCAGGGTCAAATTAGTTCTCACAAGGAAAAGCGTGCATTGGAAAATGAGAGAAACTGAATTAGTGCCTTCTGCTAGTGCTCATGAGGACTACTGATGACCGTTTAAAGGATCACGAGATGGAACTGCAGGGTTTGAATTATACTGTTATTGAAAGCCAAACGCTGGGAATAAGTTTGACAATCTGTCTACCTCTCTGTTTCCATCACTATCCCTCCATCTCTCTCTGTAATCCATACTGTAGGTTCATTATGTAACACAACTTATACCGGTATATTATTGGGTATTTTGTGTCAATCTTCACAATCCCTAGGTCAAGATGTCTAAATGTGACCCATATATCTAACTCAAATACTATAAACAGTTTATTATTGTCTAAATATACGTTACTGTTCTTCAGATATTTCAATTAGCAAAACTGCACTTGTGAAAAATACGCTTTACATGCAGTTTTCTGTGGCTTTCCTAGCAGCTGAAGAGAGAGATAAGCGTTACAACAGATAAAGCCGAAGCTGATTCACATATTTTTCGGGAGAAATTACTGCAGTAGCACGCTGGAATCATGATGCTGACAATGACATTTTCTAATGTGACTAACACACTGTTGCAACTTGTTGTATCTCCTCTATGTCAAGTAAACAGTTTAAAACCTCGTCTACCAGCCTCAGAAACTTCCTTGTGACAGCAGCAATGGATCATGAATCAAGTAAGTAACCATCAAAAACTCATCAACTGAATTTTACTGTTAAATATTTCAGAAAGAATGTATTATGTAAAAGTTACTTTGTTTTGTATTTAATACATGTGTGATGAGTAAATGGACTGTGTGCATTTGTGTTCCAGTCAATGTTAAAGTTCACTAACATTCATGTCTCACGCGGAGAGGTAGTGTCTCATGATTTCTGTTGGACTTTGGCCAAACAGAGGGGCAGAATAACTAACGAGAACCACGCTTGGATGTGTGTGTGTGTGTGTGTGTGTGTGTGTGTGTGTGTGTGTGTGTGTGTGTGTGTGTGTGTGTGTGTGTGTGTGTGTGTGTGTGTGTGTGTGTGTGTGTGTCTGTGTGTCTGTGATGATCCCGACTAATAGATTACGCTCACCTCTTTATCAGTTTTTGGGTTCAAAGTAGAATGAAAGGAAGAGGCCGGGTTAAAGGGTAATGCAAAAATAGATGTTGTTTAACTAATGGTTAACAATTACACGTTGGAGGTCTATTTTAGTTCACACAAATGGGACATTTTAAAATGTTCCAAAATATCTTGGTCTTTTTTTGCATATCTGTGACAAAATACTCACTTTTGGTCTAAAAGGAACAAAATAAATCATTATGATTACAGACTGATGTAGAGGTAGATCTGTTTGAATATTGCATTAGTTGGTAAATATCTTTGAACAGTTAAGACTTTTTGAAATGTTTGCTTTGGGATGATTGGGATGATTAATGTCATCATGTTTCTTTGAGGTAGCTGATGCTAAAAATACAATTGTAAACACAATATAAATCAAAGCCCTGGCTCATCAAAACATGTTTCCAATTCCAGTAACTCAATCAGTAAGTCAATAAGAGCCAAGCCTTTGATATGTGTGTATTTGCAGATCATAGGTTCAGTTTGTACACTGTACAAGCAGCAAAGTATCAGCACAAGGGTGCTGGATATGGTTCCCATACTACAATGTGTAAATGTTAATGCCTAGATCAAAGAATAATTATTCAGATCCAGAAGAAGTAGCTGCACCCTACAATGAAAACAATAAGATAGACTAAAAATAAATTCCATCTTAAGAAGTTATACATTATTGTCCTTAAGTTTAAGCATGTCAGCATTGTCAAAAAAAGCAAATACTATGGAGTACACTTGGAAGATATTGTTGGGTAATTAACACTACATCAATAAATCATTATTGTTTTGTATATTCATATGAGAAAAAACATAATATTTCATCACGCAATGCATTATAAGATTTAAAAAATCTTAATCTACGAAGTCTAGCTCTCCTACAAAATTGTGGAGTAAAATGAAGCAATAGTAATAGTATTATCAGCTAAATATAATTTGAAAACATGCATATGTCTAGATGTTCCTCAACATACAGTCTATGAGTGTTAGCAAAAATACCCCAAACGCAACTCATTAGACAGAACAAACTATAATGAGAAGGTTGTATTTTGTTTGCATTTTTTTGGAACCCCACCACCAAAGGTCCTTGAACCTCACCTGTATCACAACAGTCAAGCGTAATCCGACTAAACGCTGCCACATAGCGGTAGCCTACTTTATGTCATCTCTTACTACATGTTTGGAGCATAATGATAGCCTGACATCGAAATACCAAATAAATGGTCAACGTCTTGTGAACATGTAACCAATACTCGAAGGAAAATAGATTAAAACATCTAAAGCCTCAGGTTATCCAAACAGGTTGTTTGTATATTTTGGACCGTGCGCCGCATTCAGGGCCCCTGGTAAACAGCTGTTGCGACACTGGAGACACCATAAAAAACGTTAGCAGTAACGTCTCAGGGAAGATGTCGTTTTTGTATCTTCCTTTTAAGCTATATATATATAACCTGAAAAGTTGTTCTTATAAGCTTATTTGAGTTGAAAAGTCGTATTTCACACGTTGATAACTGATGTGTTTGCAAAGTATTCGTTATTACAGTATTACTTTTAAGGCAGCATTGAGTCACATGACCAATGCACAGCTGAGTGAGGGATGCTGCTGGGGTGGGCTTGCCCGTTGCTAGCCTGTTAGCAACGTTAGCCGTGTCTGGTAATCCTGACAGGAACACTCGTTTCTTTGCACCTTTTCGAACACGATCAACCGGGGGAGATATGCCACAAGCCATGGAGAGGATGCAGCGCATGTGGTCGTCTTTTGTATACCCCCAAATCATCAGCTTTCGGTTAGATGTCAATGTCATAGTTTGGGGCTAGGGCTGTCCACTTAGCTCAGCTAGCTTGTGACTGGTAAACGCAGGGCCAAAGCCAAGCGAGAAACGGGAAGGCCGTCGGTGAGTACATGTACACTAACATCTGTTTTTCACCATGTTTATCAACGTTTCTATATGCCAACCATGATGCCAACGTAACGTATCAGTGTGTCGGGAGACAACTTTTCTGCTGTTTTAACGTTACATGGTTTTCTTGGATTGAAATGACTTGTGCTTTTGTTTGCGGCTGTACAGTACTGATACTGTATCAATCATCTACATGTCTGCAGAAACTCTAGATGTGGATTTTAGCTGTTAATCATCGAATAAACGTAGTTTGTGTATATTAACAGTGCTCACGACGACTGACAGTTTAGGTTTTTAATTGTATTGGGGTGTAGTATGATGATAACATCTGAGCTACTCGATTTAATAACAGTGCATTAAATCGCAATTAGATCTCGTGTTTTTTTTTTCTTAACATCCGCGGCTTTGGAAACAAGAGTATAATTCTAGAGTATTAATGTTATTATAATGCTCATCTTTTCACGGTTGTATTGGAGGCAGCAGTCTGCAGGGCAGGTTGCCGGACTGTTATGGGGCACACGGGTTATTCCTGATGTATACGAACACCCGTGCAAATGATTTTCTTTATACAGCAATGTGCTGCTGAATTGTATAATTGAGTAACACATATTATTTAAAGATTAAATTACATTTAAATGTTATTGCTCCACTATCGTTCCTTCCTTCGTATGTTCTTGCCTTGCATGTTGACAATACGTCCTTTACACCTTTCCTTGCACCTGGACGAATTTGACATTTTAAGAAACCTTGTCATCTTGATGTTTCGACAGTTTTTCGTGTGTCTGAAGTACAAATGTTGTCTTGATAACATGCCATCCTAATGATGGATCGTATTTGGTAATAAGGTGTTTTAAACGATTTCATGTCTTGCTTTGGGTGTCATTTAAGGTTTTGTTGTAACAACCTTTCTAGTTTTTTGAGACCCTAACCCTAGACCTTGCTTTCCCTCATATGTCATCACTGAGACTTTTATAGAGTTTGATAAGAGGCTTGCAATGATTAAATCATGTTGCACTTATGTTGTCATTTGAAGTAACTCATTCTATACTTCTTGTTTATAACCAGTCATTCGCAGAGAAAAGTAAGGAGTTGGACGTTTGTTTTTGGATCAGACCAGCCGTCGTTCCTATCATCTTCGTCCCGATAACCACCAGCTGAGCCATGTCTTCGTCAGGGTGCTGCCACCTACCCGGCTCCCTTTGTGATTACTCCGGGAACACCGAACCAGATTCCTCCAAGGATTCGGAGGAGTCTGATTCGACCACACAGGCCCAGTACATCGCCAAGGTTACGGCTAAAGACGGCCGCCCACTCTCCACCGTTGTCAAAGCAGTGAACTTGCAGAGGTAAGAGAGGGAGGAACTCACATGTGACATGGGGGCCTTTAAAAAAAAATATACAGTAATTAGTACTTTTGCTAATCATCACATGTTACGCTCCACAGTGATGTGGGCATGTGTCGGATTTGTCATGAGGGCGCTGGAGGGGAGACTCTGCTCTCACCCTGCGACTGCACTGGCACTCTGGGTAAAGTGCACAAGAGCTGCTTGGAGAAGTGGCTGTCCTCCTCCAACACCAGCTACTGTGAACTCTGCCACACAGAATTCACTATTGAACGTCGACCACAACCACTCACACAGGTAAGAGGGTTAACTTATTGTTGATTTTGTAAAAAGAGGTTGAAAAAGGCTTATCTGTCTAAAGCAAGGGAGAAGATGTTTGTTCTTCAGCAATGTTGTCATATGTTAAGTAATTTGTAGGTCTCTTTTAGATTAAATGCTGAATCTTAAATTTAGATTTAAAATGTTGATTCCATGTAAAGTATAAACCAGTCTAGTAGCATCCTGAGGATATAAAGGTGTTTTTTTCATATTAATAAGATGGTAGCCTGACCATTTCATATGACTAGTATTCATATCAATAATGCATTCATATCAGATGGGCACCAAATGTCCAACATTCACACCTTTTTAAATGATCTTTTACTTGGCAGAATAATCACTGCAAACTGAGATGCAGCAATCAATCAAACAAACAAACAAACACTAAGCTAATACTGAGAGCCTATTTTCATTAAACCTCTTGCTTCTGCTCTGCTCAGTGGCTGAAGGACCCAGGCCCTCGCAGTGAGAAGCGCACACTGCTGTGCGACATGGCCTGCTTCCTCCTCATCACGCCGCTGGCAGCCATCTCTGGCTGGCTGTGTCTGAGGGGGGCCCAGGACCACCTGCAGCTGAAGAGCAGACTGGAGGCTGTGGGCCTCATCGCCCTCACCATCGCCCTCTTCACCATTTACATCCTCTGGACACTGGTAACCAAAACATACTTATGACCTTTATGTACATCTGTTGAGGCAGTGGGACAAAATATCTGGCATCTTCTTACCCACAGGCTTCTAGTATTTATCTTTCTTCTTGTCCCACATAGATTTGAAAAATAAATGTGTACTGGCACACAGACACAATACAAAGACAGCCGCACTGATCTAACAGATCTATGTTCTGCTGTTGGTTTTAGTTGAAACTGTGGGACTGTTTTCTGCTTCCAATATTACCTTGAATAGCTCTTGCACAAAGTCAAAGCAAGAGAGAAGACAGGGCATGTGCAACTTGATAATCTCTGGCACACCGCACTCATTTGTTTGAAAGTTGGCCAGATGCAGGCCCCTACACGCACAACACATTGAGAAGCGTAAGAATAAACTGTCTTACACTATGCACTTTAATTTGACTCGACCCCATACACTAAAAATAGCCTGTATTGTCAATCACAAACGTTGTTCTGGAATCTAAACCTCTTAACTTCAGTAAAAGAATCCTAACTAATATCGAGTGTGTGAAACATTAGCCCGTTTCACTCACAGCTTGTGTAACCTTTAGCGCTTCAGTCAGCATATTGTTCCTGTCCTGCAGACATACTACTCTGTCTCTCATATCTCAGTGTCAGAATAACGGATGTCTGTCTTTCCTCCGCCTAACTTGCCCCCCCCTCCCACCTTCCTTCCATTCAATCTCAGGTGTCATTTCGGTATCACTGTCAGTTGTACTCGGAGTGGAGGAGGACCAATCAGAAAGTGCGCCTGCTCATGCCTGACATGAAAGGGTCCCACACCACCCAACGATCTGTGCCGACCAAGTCGACCAAGAAAATGACTGATGAGACCATCGTATGAGTGCAGAGCGGCGGCAAGAGGAATATTTAAAATAACGCCCACTGAAGCGCTCTCTAAAAAACAAAATTAATCCTATTAATAAACGTTTGCACTTTGTAAGGACCATTTTGAGAGGGGGGAGAAACTTTCTTCTTTTTTTTTTTTTTTAAGCACTTGAACTACTACGGTATTGGCCGACCACAAAAGTGGTTTTGGGAAGAACTCATTCCGGAGATGGTGTTGAAACACGTAGTTGTCAAACGGATGGCCGGCGCTGAGAACGACTGAAGACATGGATAGCGGACGGACCAGCCCAACTGTGTGTCCCGGACACAAACTTATGAATTACTAAGACACAAGCTAATGTAGCAGGATATAACTGATTCAGCATGCTACTACAGTATAATATTAAACATATTCACTACCTATAATTCCCCCATGCCCTTTCACAATGTATTTAGCTCTTTTTAAACAATGGGCAGCCAATAGCCCGGCAGAGGATAATAACCTAAAAACATGATTGACAAAGTCTATCTGTGAATACTCCTCCCTGACATGTAGAGGGCAACAGGCGCTCATACCGACGGTGTTTTCTACGATCTGAACCCCTCTGAAGTTTCCTGGTAAAGCTTTATCATTGCTGTAGGAACGGCGAAAATCTATTTTCCTGTTTAGACAACAGCTAAGGCTTCATATTTATATTTATCACACATGTCACGGTGTCAGTGGAGATAACAGTATGTGGGATAACTGCGCCCGTTGAACGGCAGTGCAGTGCTGTGTAAGGAAAAAGTATTGAAGGTGTGGAAACGTGTTTACATTCTAATTGGATAATGTCTACTTGTCATAAGAGTGCATTTGCAACCAGCCCAGCTCCACTTGTAAATGCATTATTCATTAATTGAGCTGCCTAGCAATGACCAGCAGATGCAGTGTAAATATGAGTCACAGTGTTCAGGATTGCAAGACTACAGACTTTTGTTCAATATAAAAACACGAAGATGTATCGGAGCAGGCTGTAAAAGAAATTGTGTTTTGAGGCGTTGATCAATGTTTGCAGCATATGCTATACAAAGTATTTTGTTTCATTGTAGTCATCCTGCTGCATCCCCTGGAAAAGTTGGGTTATTGTGCAATAAAACATGAGGGACTCCTGGCTAAATCAAAATGTCTGTTTGTTTTAGTTGGCCTCTAACGTCTTCAGTTGTCTTTGGAAATATATCTAATAATCAATCACTGTGAAGCCCAACATTTCAAAAATATTTAAGTGGTTTGTGCTGGAAGATTAAACTTATTATTTGTAGGACAGTCGCATATGAATATATGACACTTTCCAAAGAATGGTACTAAAGTACAATTCCAGGTACTTGTATTTTATAATTGTACATCACTATACTTTTAGAGGGAAAGTCCTCTACAGCTATTTAACAACAAGTGTTACTTTTTAGATTAGGATTTTAGATATAAAATAGCTTTATATTGCTAAAACATCCACACATCCTTTTTGGCTTGTTACACCTTACAAAAAGTAGTGTCTTGATTTTGGCCTATGTCAGGTAAAAGAAGATGCAGTATGTTATCAACAGAATGTTCTCCCTTTTGAGCTTCTTCTCAGGTGGTTTCAATATTTATTTTATTATTGAGAAAATATATATTTAAATAAAAAAAGTATCTTTATATACTGTATAGGGGTCATGGCCTTAGTGTGGAACATAAAGGGAATGCTTTGTGAAAGTTGAATTAAGCTCAACCTTGACCTGAACAATGGCTAAATGCTGCTTATGCATTTATGCAATAACAATGAAATAATGTACTATGAAAATGATGTTACAAGCAGGTCAGGGATCACTGTACAGTATGTATTTGTTTGAAATGTACCTATAAGATAACACAATCAACGGACAACTAGAAAACACCCTCTGGCCAGGGCTGTCGACAGCGCAGAGGCATAACAAAGTAGACACCACCACAATGTAATATTGTAAAATTTAATTTCATGGCATTAATATAATGTATGTGAGCAGACAAGCTATCAAAACAAAAAAAAGGATATATTTTACACAAAATGAAATAAGCATCAGCAGCGTAACAACGACATTTGAGATGACTGAACGAGGAGGAGGGAGGCCCAAAAACAGGACTGCTGGTATGACTGGGACAGGCAGGATTCACAGCCAGGCGTCCAACATGTGTCAGTAACTGCCAGGGAGATGTTTAGGCCAAAGCTATTTTGCTACACTGTCACAGGTTACTGTGGCAGGTACATATGTACCATCAGTCCTGTCTTTGCACGGGGGGGAGGTGGCAGATTGTACCTGGGTCACATTACTATTTGAAATCAATTCAAACACTTCTTTCCGGGATTGATCGTTTGTAGCATAAAGGAACTGACTCCACTGATCTAAAAAAAAAAGAGGTGCAGATTGAGACAATATTACACCGCAGGCGGATGGAAGCATACCAACACTGTGGATTTCAATTAATAATCGACCCAGGTGAGAGGGGACTGTTGCCATGGGTTACAGGTTCTGACAGCACTGCAGTTTGCCCCCCCTCAGGCCGTCCGTGGTGGGGGGCACGCTGATGTCCACCACGTTGTTTCCCGGGGACTCGTCATGGGCGGACCGCTCAGCAATCTGTTTCTGAGAGACGATGCGGTAGATTTCTGTTTTTCAGAAAGGAGAAATGGAAAGCCTTTTTCATAAAATATATATAATTGTTTTTGGTATAGAGAGTAGACCAACAGCAAAACTGAAACTTGGAGGTGAAAATAGGTGAGATATTTCACAAGTTGATTCTTTAGTTCTTCAGTTACCATTTTGCACACAACAAATCAAATTAACTTCCCTCATTAAGAGGAAGTTACACAGGTACAGTTCAACAGTTGAGTTACAGGAAGTCATTTTTTGAAGCTGTCCATTTTTTCACTCATTTCATATCAGCAGCTACTTTTAAATGGACCCTTTTATGCTCATTTTCAGGTTTCATATTTGTATTTGTGTGCCTCCACTGTACCATGTTTACATGCTTTAATGTTCAAAAAGCTCTTTATTCTTTATAAATGATCATATTGCCTGTGCTGCAGCAACTCTTTTCACCCTCTGTCTGAAACCAGAGCCAAGTCTGCTCTGATTGGTTAGCTGGCCAGCTCTGTTGTTATTGGTCAACCGCATAGGGATGTCCCGCCCCTTAGCCTATCATTACAATGTGTTGAAGTACCAGCCAATAGAAGCACGATTGTTACATAGTGATTTCACTATGTTACAAAAGTGAACAAAGGAGTCCAATGGAGGAGTTTCATGCAGGGGGGGAGTGGGTGTGGGAGAGAAATTTGGGAATTTATCTTTTGCAGTTAAGACAGTTATGACAAAAACCTATATAACACACTACAGGAAAGGCAAAACCAAAAAAAGGAAACAGGGCCTCTTTAAAACTAACTTTGTTTAGTGCTTGAAAAAGGTCCAAAAGCTTGTAAGGAAAAATGTTACGCAACAGTTTCAGCTTAGTATAACATAGCACTGGATTGTTATCAGACCAAGACTTTGGAATGATTGGACTTTGAGAAGTTAAGATCACATTTTAAAGTATACTTTCTTATCGTTCAGGAACAAAATCAACATTGTGGTCCCACCTTTGTCCACAAGCATACCTGTGAGGATATTCTTGAAGGCTTCTTCAACGTTTGTTGAGTCCAAGGCTGAAGTTTCTATGAATGACAGATTGTTTTTCTCTATAGGGGAGGAAATAAAAAACATTTTACAGAAACAATAGCTCAAAACAAAACAATATCAGAGAATCTAGTATTGTTTAGTTTTGTACTTATTCTTTTCCAGCTACCTTTATAAGAAGAGACAATACAGTTAAGGTTTCAATTAGGTTCTCTTATCTTCAATTTGTGAAAAGAAGACAAATAGCTTGTAATTGTAGGAAATGTTAATATCTTTATAACAAACAAAAGAAAGACAAGACAAAAAGTATTCTACTGTAAAGTATATGTGCCTTTTCTGAGTCTGTAAGTTACCTGCGAAGGCCCGGGCCTCGTCGGTGGGCACGGCCCTGAGGTGGCGCAGGTCGCTCTTGTTGCCCACCAGCATGATGACGATGTTGTTGTCGGCGTGGTCCCTCAGCTCCTTCAGCCAGCGCTCCACATTCTCATAGGTCAGGTGTTTGGCGATGTCGTACACTAAGAGCGCCCCCACGGCTCCTCTGTAGTATCTGTGACAGGAAAACAACAAATACAGTGATGACAGGAAACGTCAGAAAAGGGCCATCAAAAGTATGGATGAGTCTTAAAATCATGAGAATCACAGCTAGAGAAATTTCCTTTTGTTGCTTGTACAGTACAGCAGCTAATTCAGGGTATACTACAAAAATGTAATGTATGTCTTATCTAGTTTCTTATTCAGCCAATATTCATGTTTAAAGCTTTTATGGCATGTGGACAGAAAACGGACTGACATTCTACTTCTTTTGTGGTTTGTAATTCAATTCTATGTGAGATATAAAGGTTAAAGTAAATGTTGGCTTTCCAATGCTCTGAAATTACATTTCACATGTTTGACTCGTTCTTTTACAACGCATATAAAGTCTGCCCCATTTTAGGTGATGTAGCCTGAAGGATTAAGGTAGGACGATCAGCAGCTCACAGACTCACGCTGAGGTGATGGCTCTGTAGCGCTCCTGCCCGGCTGTATCCCAGATCTGAGCCTTTATCGTCTTGCTGTCCACCTGAATGCTGCGCGTGGCAAACTCCACGCCGATGGTGCTCTTACTCTCTAGGTTGAACTCATTTCGTGTGAATCGAGAAAGCAGGTTGCTCTTCCCTACGCCCGAGTCCCCAATTAACACAACTGTTGAGGAAAAGAGAAGAAGGGAGAGAGGGAAAATATGAGACAAGATGTTTTACTCTGTGTGTGTGTGTGTGTGTGTGTGTGTGTGTGTGTGTGTGTGTGTGTGTGTGTGTGTGTGTGTGTGTGTGTGTGTGTGTGTGTGTTGGGAACAGTAGGGGCAATGTAATTAATAGAACCTCCAAAAAATGTTGATCGTGCATAAAGCAGTGCCTCTAAACGCTGGTTTCAAAAGAACCCTGGGGCCGTGTGTGTGTGTGTGTGTGTGTGTGTGTGTGTGTGTGTGTGTGTGTGTGTGTGTGTGTGTGTGTGTGTGTGTGTGTGTGTGTGTGTGTAACCGTGTGTGTAAGTGTGTGTGTGTGAGTGTGTGTCCGTGT